GGAATGCCGTCTCGTGGTAAAGCGAGGCTTTGTCTAGAAGCTTCAAGGTATGACTGTTACTGCTGGTGTAATTACAGAATAATGTAATGATATCTGCTAAATTAGTGCTGCCTGAGTGCCCTCTGCAAAGACACTGCAGCTCTCGCAGGACTGTTCGTATCAAGAAGCCAACCTACAGTGGTGCCGCCAAAGCTCTTCACTCCAGGAAACTATTATTTCTTCTGCAAGCCTCAAGTCAAAATTCCCCTCATACTAAGGAGAAGACATGATACCAGACAACTCCCCACAGATGAAATCCAAAGGATGGGGAGGTTTTCTGAACCTGGGTGAGAGGTCTTTGTCAATAGAACCTTGAAGGAGAGCCTGACAGACAGAAAACAGTTTCTGAGAGCAGGATTCCCTGGAAAAGGTACAAAAAGTGTTCTCCACGGCCAGTAATGAGATGTCTTTGCACTTACTGTACCAGTCGCTCATCAAGACCCGAGTCAGCAAAAAAAGTGTTTCTAAAGTTCCATTAACTTCAGTGGGAAGTAAGCGAGCGCTTAACTGCACTGAGCCCCAAAATAGCAGCAGGCAAAGAAACTCTCCAGCTCAGCACAGCAGTCAGACTCAAGTCAAAGCAAAACCAAGAGCAGGGAAAGGAGCAAAGGCCCAGACATGGTGCGGGGGGAAGGGACCCAAGCAGCCAGCCCATGAGGAACAAACAAAAGCAGGGGGAGAATCCTGAAGAACTAGTACACCAAGAAAACATTTCAGGGCTTGGCAGCCTTCTGTGTTTGTTTATTCACTGGATTTCCACTGGGAAACGATAACAACTGCTGAAGAAGTTAGAGTATCCTGTAAAAAGAAAACAGTACCTGGGCAAAAAAAATCTGCTGGAAGTTTTACTCCTTTGCCATGAATAAAAAGAATATTTCCATAGGATTTTGTTATTTAGTATTTCAGAGTATTTTTGGTTTTTACTGATGTGACTGTATTTTGCCCTCCTCCTTTCAGAACTGCAAGTAGGCTGAAAAATCTGCGTTTTTGCACCACTTGCACATCCTAACTTTGCTGACATCACCTTGTTTGACCTAGAACTGCTTTGACATAACCATTTATCAGCTGTGTAGCAGACTAATCACTATTTCCATTAAATTTACGATAATACAGTTGCAGGCTCTCTGAAGCCACCTGCCTGGAGATGGCTTTCTTGTATGTAAAAACTTGGGGCAAAGAAGTTCTTGCGGTGCTCATTAAGAAAACACCTTCTCTAACAAGCGAAAAGAGAGCCCATGTAAAATACTGTTCAACTGTCATGTCTACATTCATTGAACCTAAGGGAGAGCCAAAAAAACCTCCTGAGGCACCCTCCATTAGACAATATTCTTCTCCCTTATCAGGGTAGACTGCTGTCTGGTTTCCTGTCTCAACTTCTAAGAAGAAACAGTCTAGTAAGGATAAAAGATCAGACTTCTGAAAACAAGTGAAGTATGTGGAATGGTATGATAATCTTTGCCTTCCAAACTGAACTTGGTTTTTTGTTGTGTTTTTCTTAAAAGGTTAATTCTAAAGTTAATGTAAAAAGAGGAATATAAATTCTATCTTTTTATTATAAGGGAAGAATGACAGAAAATACTGCTCTCTTATGTAAAGGGTTCTGTTACTCCATGAAACACATGAAACAGAGATTCAACGCTTTTAATAGTACGAGGAAGAAGGAAAAAAATCTAATTCTAATGTGTACATTTATGAAAGAGCCTAAATTATTAATGTGAATGAGGATTTAAATACAAGGCAAATGTCGACGGACTTCTGTGTAACTATGGAAGTGGAGAAAAAACCAAAACACCAGGGAGAAGAGCTGGATAGTGCAGTGGGTACAAATGAGACAGTGATCACAGCAGCTTAGACTCCTCAAGAGTGGAAAGCATGTCATGCCTTTATGGATCAAGTTAGTTTGTTGGTAACACACACTGACTGCACGACAGGCAGACCACGCGTTTGTTTTTTTTTCCATTCTGACTTAGTTTACTCTTAAAAACCTGCGAGACCTTTATCTTTCCATGTGGCCGATCTACACTTACACTTCCTTCCCCTGGGAGGTATCAACTACAGCTACAAAACCCTCAAAGGCAGCCTCGGCATCAAGTGAGTGCTTAACAGGGAAGGGTTAAATCTCTCCTAAAACCAGCTCTGCCAAACTTCATATTCTGGATTGGAAGCAACTAGCCTCAGAATGAAAACACAAAGCTTCAATGCTGACAGCATAAAAGAATTCCAAAAGACCTCCGGTTAGCAGTGTTAATTAATATTAAAAAGTTGGTTTACAAAACTATTATAATTTATCTCAGTCTCTGATTTTGTAGAACTTCTGGCTACAGAAAGGTGTGAACCACAAAATTTACTGCATTTATTACACTTTAGTTTCCAACATTAAACGCAGTTAAATAGAACAGTTTTCCTGTGTCATGGTAAAAAAGATTAAATATGTCTGAAATCATGTGCAAATTAACAGTACCAGAATTAGTATATTTAATCAGGTTCTAATGGATAAATTCTTCCACAGTATTCTAAAATTAACACAAAAACAACTAAGTAAAAACAACTGAGAGAAACAGATAAAAATAATCAAAAAACAACTTACCAAAACTGTGTAGAAAAACAGTTCTTGTTCTCTGGATTTCTGAACAGACAAAAAACAAGCTGATGTAAGGTTGTGCACACAGTTCAGTAAAAATTATTTTTCACATAAAATTAAGCCCTGAAAGAGGAAGTTTAAAGCATGTATTTTGGATATTTCTTAAAAGATACCTTCAACAATCATAAATGGCTACCTTCTAGCATCCGAAAGAGCAACAGCAGGAACTAAAAGATTACTTAAAAAAATGAGCGAAATAGAAAAAGGGGTAAAATCAGCTGGTGAAAATATTTCTGTGTGGACAGAAACCAAGCATATTCACACCCATAAGTGACAGAGAAGAATGAACACTCCATCTTGCATTTTCATCCAGGGCCTGATTCAAAGCCCGCTGAAGTTAATGCAAGTCTTTCTCTTGATTTCAATGAGCTTTGGCTTGGGTCCTTTAGCTCTTCTTCTGTCAGATTCAAAGCAACAGAAAGATTTATGTTCTCTTTCTGAATTTCCTCTTCATGTTTCTCTTATGTTTGCCTGCCACAGGGTGGGGGAAGAAGACAAATATAAAAACAGGAGTTAAAAAATTTATTTCCATGCCTTCAAAAATGCAAAATTTGGGATAGTTGAACCTATTTACTCTATAGGAAAAGTTAGTCAGCAGTGCCTCATTTTCTGTACTACATCTGGAAGACAGTGAATCTTCTTGTTTGTGTAAGGAGAAAACACCTATTCCTTCTGAGACCTGGAAATACAGAGTGCTTAAGGTGGGGCATTCAGGTTGGCTTAGGGCAGAAGCCAAGACCCCTCCTTCAAGCATGAGCCTACAGATATGGATCCTCTTCTGACAGTCTTTTTACACCAATGCAACTCCGTGGCTTTCATGGAGCTATTCCAGATCGGCTGATGAGCAAGCGAGAGCAGAAAACTAGCTCACAGCGAAGCTCTCCACTCCCGTAACTACATCGGAGACGAGGGCTTGCGTTAAAGGTTAACTTGCAAACCTTGTTGTGACATAACGCAGGCATCTTAAGCAATCGTGAGTGTGTAGAGACATGATAACTCATTGGGTGGGGATTGGGAGTTGAGGGGCAGTGACAAGGGGCCTGGACGAGGCTACCGATCTGCCAGAAAACAGCCTGAAACAGGAAAGAGCACCACATATGCCACTTGGAATGTGTGACGCAAACCCCAGCCTTGAAACAAAGAACAGGAAACAGCTCTGCTGGCTGTGCTGGGGAGAAAGCACAGAGAAACATTTAGGCGGCCCTCCCTGACCCTATATTCATGAGCAGCTGGAGTCTTTTAAAACAACAACAGTGGGTGGAGGTGTTTGTTCATTGGGTGTGAATAAAAACACTGTCCTTGAGCAGGAGACCTGCCCTATTTACAAACAGGCTCCCTCAACATAAGGGAGCAGGAGAGTTTTAGACACCACAGGACACGACGATTAGCTGAAATCTTCCCTAGGACCAAGTGGTTTATTACTGTATTTACAGAATGCCAGTAGCTAAACAGAGCTGCAGCTGCGTGACCTCGAACAGGCGCGCCCTGCCTAACAGCAAGCATCTTCTTCGTAGACAGAAGGGGGGGGATCAGGACCGATTTGCAAAACAACAGTGATCCATCTCAGGAGTGATCTGTAAAGCCATGGGTTGCTCCCAGACAGCATCGTGCTTTTGTGTGGTACTGCGCAACAGCTGAGGACCCACATCATTCAGTGCACCCAAGAACAGTTTTCTGAGCCACCACACAGCATTCTACATCCCTGTTTCATATGCATCTTCGTCTCAGGACCCGATTTTCCATGGATATATTTCTGAAGCACCTAAATATACAGCAGAATAAACGAAGTAAGCTGACAACACGAGGCAGAGGAAAGGCATATCTTGCCTTGATGTCATGCAACACAGTAACTTCAGTACTCTTTTTCCTTCAAAGCTGTGGTTCCTTACATACTTTGCATCGGTTTTTTATATACCACAGGTGGGACATCTAATATCCAATGTGAGAATGCGTTACAGCATATTATGTGGACCACAGTAGCACTAATAACTGCTGTGGAGTTTCATGGCACGGAGTTTAACACCACACATGAGGTGACAACTGGCTAGCACAGAATCTACACAGCAATGCGTGGGTGTAGGCTTTATGCTGATAGTATCAGTTCCTTACTTTCTTCATACTGAATATCTGGAAATGTAAGTAATTTGGTGGTTGCATGACTCCTATCTCCATTATCTCTCAGCCTTCGACTAATCTCTCACATTTACATGACTATTTATCTGAAGACTTTTGCTTTTGGCTAAACAGGTGTTGCCTAGGTCAAATCCTCACAGCACCTAAGGGCTCCCTCCCAGCTCTGCTACTTAGAGGAAATTTTGCTTGGTTTCTCAGGGAGCAGAGAGACCATTTAGTATCTTTTTTTTTTTTCCTTCTCCTGCCTTTATCCCCGGTCTCCCTTGTGGTATGTAACATAGCTCTAATAGGGTGTACATCAGAGGCGGGGGGGGGACCGGGGAGAAGTATTTGCCTGCTTGGGAAAGAATAAAAAAGGCCACTCAAATCAGATTCAGGTTTTTTTGTATTACGATAGTAGAGAAAATATTCTTAAAAATACAAGAGGAAAGTTAGTTTGAAATAAATCTCTTCAGGGTCAGGCAGGATTATCAAATCCAGATGTAATTTCCCTCACACAAGAAGCAGCTCTTCACGTGACTATCAAGACAGCGTATCTTAAAAGTATTGTATGGAAAAGTTACCAGTGAGCAGCTATGCGATCCTCTGTTTTCAATACAGGTAACATACATTTATGGATGTTAAACAGTCAAGTGTTCAGAGCTCTCCTATTAGCATCTCAAACTCAGTTCTTCCCTACAAAAAAACCCTTCAGAATCCAGTTCCACAAACGGTGACGCTTCCTGCATTAACAGAGGCAAGGAAACAAACACAGGACACGGTGCAGGTACAGTACCCGAACCACCAGGGGAGTACACAAAGCAACTTTAACGTGGTGGGGTTTTTTTCATACAGTCTTGAATGACCAGCTATTCTGAAATAAGCCTTTCTCCACTTCGGTGCTGTGACCTCTCAGCACGGGCTCCTGTCGCTGAACCTTCCTTTTCCGGGGCTCCCCTAGCTGTGCCAGGCACTGACCTGACAAACATCCAAAGCAAGTAACTCCTATTCCCATTTGAGCTTAAAAAAACGCCAAACAATACAACAAACGGCATCCAGGGACGGCAAACTACTCAGGGTCGTTATTTCTAACTCTCCTAACACATAACTGTCGCACTCTCCTAGGCACGACGTGTTTTAACTTTGCCTACACCTCGGCCAAGTGATGCTAAGGTTAGATGACGAGATGAGGGATAAATTTTTGAGAGCGGGTCTCAAAATTTACTTTACCGAGAGCAAAGCCGAGAGGACACGGCGCTTTCGATCAGCTTCGTGCTGCCGGTGGGTCCCGGCCAAGAGGCGAGCGCCTGCCCCGGCATTTCCCTCAGTGCCCAGGGAACCCGCTAATACTCTTCACCTCGGCTTCGACCGACGCGATATCCCCTGTGGGATCCGGTGACACTTTAGCCTCGGGTTGAGCCGAGCTTATCGCGCCCTG